TCCTTTTGGCTTTCAGATTACACTTCTAGCTCAGCTTCGATTTCTGTCCCAGGAAGTTACTTATAGTTACACATTGAGGAGACTTTTCTTCTCTCAGATTGAAGATTATGATGCTGTCTCTCACTATTTCCGCTTGCCTACTCCTACCAGTGAAAAGCCCTGACCAACTATTTCAGTGGTCACACTCTTCTCTCAATAACAGCCATGTACTACTAGAGGGATACACCATGCCCATGGTACATTAGAGGAAATGAAAAAAGCAGAAGAAATATGATCTTCAGGGAGAGCAGTGTGATTGATTGAAAATGCTCTACCCCGTGGAACATCCTCAAGGTGGCTCTTCTAAGCTAAGCTATAGGGTAAAGGATGGAAGTATTTAACTCGCAGAAGAAATGAAAAGGAAATGCTATTTTCACCGAGAGCTGTGTGTTTGGGGAGTCTGCATCATGTGGAAAATCCTCCAGGAAGATGTTCCAGAACAAACAAGGATACTTTGAAGTAGGAGAGTATTTCAACACCGTGCTGAAAATTCGTGTTGCGTCTGCCTGGTGAATGAGAGCCTAAACGCTCTTGTGTTTGGACAATTCACTTTTTGCCTTTTTGTTGAACTTTGTATTCATTTCATTAATGTAACCCGAGGTGGGACCAGGAGAACACTGTCCACGGTAACAGCAACATGGTGGGAGGATCAGCTTGGAGAGGCTCAGCTCTTCTGGGCAGTACTGAGATCCAAGACAATTCCAAAAGGCTCATGATGGAGAATGCTACCCACCTCCAGAGAAACAACTATGGAGTCTGGATGCAGATGGAAGCCTACTCTTTCCATTGTTTTTTGTTTTTTCTTTGTCCTGGTTTCCCCCTATTGTTCTGATTGTTTTTTCAGAACAGGACTAATGTGGAAATATGTTTAATGTGGTTGATTATAAGTGCAAGTCCTCTAGGAGATTGATTGCCTTTTTTGGGAGGTGGAATGGAGCTACGGAAGTAGTGATAGATTTGGGAATTTAAAACTTAAAAAAAATTAAAATTTTTTCACATGCAATTTCAGGGTGTCGGGGAATAATATATGTTTTAAAAATAAATGAATGCCTGGTATTATTCTTGTCTTTATTCTCTGTATGCTTAATATGAGCATTTCCATGTTTTAGCATTCAGAAAAGATTTGACTGCAGGACTCAGTATCAAAACGAAGCAAAGATGCCTTCTGAAGCCTGAATAAATAACACTCTTTTTAGATATTTGTCCATGTATGGTCCTGAGGATAGGGAACTCCTAGTGTGAAACCTCCTTCTCCTCCTGCAGTAGAGTAGAGAGGTTCCTATGAGCATATAAGCCTGACCCCTAGTGGTAAAAATTCTAACAAGGGTAAGATTGAGAGTCCCTACTAGAACTGGATTTAAGTTCCCAAACTTCTATTCTCTTTCATTTGAGACAGTGAAATTATTTACAAGGCTACTGACAATCCTTACGTGTTTAACACAGGAAGTGGCACATAGTATATTCTTTATACATTCCCGATATTACATGTATAACCTATACCTGATTGTTTACCACCTTAGGGTGGGAGAAGGAGAAGGAGGGAAGAAGGGAAGAAGGGATAGAATTTGCGACTTAAAACTTAAAAAAAGTTTTAAAAAAATATTTTAACATGTAATTGTGGTTAAATAAAAATATTTAAAAATAAATAAATGCCAGCTATTATTCTTATTCTATGTATGCTTAATATGACCACTTCGATGTTTTAGCAGTCCAAAATGTTTGACTACGTGATTCAGTAAAGTAAGGAAGCAAAGATGTCTTCTGAAGCCTGAATAAATAAGAAACCTTTTAGATATCTGTCCATATATGGGCCTGAGGACAAGGAACGCCCGGTGTGGTACCTCCCTCTACCCCTGCAGTGGAGTAGAGAGACTCCCATAGTTCATAAGCCTGACATCAAGGGAACAAAACTCTAGCAGTGGTTGATGAGAAGACCGAGGAGTTTCTACAGGAAGCTGACTTACGTTTAGCAACTTCCTAATCTCTGGTCACTTTGAGATTGCTTCTACTGCCAGAACCACTGGAAGCATTAACTTGCTCATTTTAGTAAATCCTCCATTAACCCAAACTAATATTTGTGCTTTTTTTCTTTTTGGAGAAAATATGAATCAGTTATATTTTTGGTGAGGATTGAGTGTGTTTGGGAAGACACACAAAAAACTGACACAAAGAACTCCAGGGATCTTCATCGCCCCCCACATACTTGGAGCAAACCTGACTTTAGGCATCCTTCATTTTCAGGTCACAAGGAATCGATATCATACAGCATCTGGTATGTCTCTTTAAACAATCATTTCTTGAGTGTTCCAGGGAGTGTAATGGTCACTTCATTGACTCTTCTTTACCTGGAGGTTGATGGCTGGTGGGGCAACTTTGGTTTCTCTTTGATGCCGTACAAAATGAAAGAGAAGTTGGGAGTTGGGGGCCAACATTGCTTTAAATTAGAACACTTTCTCAGCAGGATGCACTGACAACTTTATCATAGTTTGTTTTTAAGAAAAGACATTAGTCTAGCCATCCTTCAGCTTTCTGTTTCAGCAGCATTCATTCACCTGAGGCTCAACTTATGAGAGGTTAAAATATGATGCTTTGGAAAAAGAAGGCTAAAACTTACTGTATTTTAATTGCTTATTCCCATTCTTGATTCCTTCTGCTCAAAGTTCCATTTTACATACCTGGACTTCTTTCTCATAAACATCTGTGGGTAATCTAGAAAAAAATCCCACAAATCTAAAGATTTCAGACATGATGTCTGTATTAATGTTGCCTTAATGTATTAATTTTGCCTCCATTTAACTGCCTTTAGCCAAACCTGCTTTCAAAAGCCTAAAAAAAGAAATAAAGATTTAGACTGAGACTCCCTAGCCTTTGTGGAATCGAGAGTTTAACGGTCAAGTTGAGGTTTTGACAGTACCATTTTCCTCTTTTTCAAATATGCTCATGTTGTACATATAAAGATAATTATGTAGTTTCTTAATCATGGGATGTTTCTTAAAGTTTCATGATGCCCTTTGGGAGTCTTTGGAGGAATGTTAATTTGTTATAATAAGAGGTTAAGAAATAGCTGATTTTGTTGTCTTCAAATTAATATTACTCATGAAACTTTCCAGCTTTTAACAGTGGTTAATTAGTCTCATTTGATTAGTCATTAAATTAGTTTACAAGTCATTCAAAACAGTTGGACTTGATTCTAAGTTCTGTTTTTAAAAGATATTTCATAGTAAACATGAATGCTGCTTTTATACTTCACGTGGTTATTAAGGTTCAGTCCTTAAAATTTAAGGTAGGGTCTCCCCAGGAGACCCAGAAAGTTCTAGAATGAGTATTGAAGTTAGACTCTCTTTCAGAGTCTCTGCCAACAGGGAAAATTCAGAAGTTTGAATTTCACATTAGTCATGGATAAATCAACTCACCCATTTACTATACTTTATTTACTGTGTTTTACTCATAAAGGAGGCATCTCAGCTCCAGGAGTTTCTCTGAAAGGCTGGGTTTCAGGATTTTTCCTTCAGTTCATATTGAAAAGACAATGGTAACTTGTTAAATCTCTGAGCCAGACTTGTGATCCATCCAGACCACTCTGCTCAGCTCTCAGATGTTCAGTATGGCCTATTATGGCCATACTTTTTGGATCTTGGGTGATATTTATGATTAAGGCTAGTCTTTTGGGTTCTTAGAGGAAGCTAAGGGTTCAGGCCAACATTTTAGGCTCTCTTGTGAGAGGATCCAGGCCAAGTTTTTAGGTTCTTAGATGATACTTAGTGTCCAGTTTTAGTTCTTAGCTGACTCTTAAAGTCAAGGCTACTCTTTTTGGCTTTCAGATCAGATTTATGGCTAAGATCCTCCTTTTTAGCCCTGGAGAGCTATTTACATTCGAGATGATACTTTTCATCTCTCAGGTAGAAGATAATAAAATTCTCTTGCAATATTTTGATTGATTCTTGACAGCTAAAAGTCCCAATCTTCCTGTGATATAATTACATTTTTATCTCTTAATCATATATATATGCTACTATACTAATAAGTGTTATTAAGCCCATTATATATTACAAGAAATGAAAAAGGAAGAAGAGATGATGTGTTCAGTGAGAATAACACAGTTGAATATGCTCCATTTTGTTTAAAATTCTTACCTTACAAGGGAGATGTCCATTGATTGGGGAATGGTTATAGAAATTGTGGTTCATAAACATAATTACTATGATATTTCAAATGAATGAAACAGTATTGACACCTATGTCTCTATCATTGTGAGAGAGAAGAAATATGAAAGTTGGAACCTGAGGAAATGATCACTGCAATGGATAAAAAATGAAGAACCAGGAAAACAATGTATATGATGACTACAATACTGTACATTGAAACAAACAATCAAAACTAGATTGTGAGAAATTTTAGAGAAGAAGATTTTTATTGGATTTATGGCTCTGACAAATATTTTGAGCTTTCAGATCCCACTTTACTGGAAGCACTTTACATTGTAAGGATTTTTGTTTTCAATTTATTTTTTCAACAGCTGTGGCCATCTTATCAATGAAATATTTAATTTTATTGAGTGCAATTTTTTTTATTTCCCTAAAATAATAATTTTTTAAAAGGTGCCTACTGAGTGCCAGGCATTGTGCTAAGTATCGGGAATACTAATAGAAGCATAAAGTCCCTGCTCTCAAGGAGGTTACATTCTAATGGAGCAGATAACACATAACAGGCAGCTTTAATAGCAGATGTGGAGAAGTCCAGGGGCTAGCAGCCTGGTGGAAAATGAAGAGATGGGTGGCCTGGCTTGGGATGAAGATTCTCCTTCAATAAAGGTTCCGGGAGGACCAGCGTTGTGGGGAATGGTGGCGGAATCCAAAGGAGTGCCTCTTACTCTTGCCATTGCTACCTTCTGTGCCAGTACTCTTCTTGGACTCCTAGTGAAGCTCATCTAAGGTCAGCTGCCATTAACACCCTGCAGTCACTCATACCCTGGGCCCCTTGGAAATTGCTATTTCCATGTTTTAGCATTCACAAAATGTTTGATTGCATGACTCAATATAATAAAGAAGCATAGATGCCTTCTGAAGCCTGAATAAATAACACCCCTTTTAGATATCTGTCCATTTGTGGACCTAGGATTTCTCGAATGCAAGGAACTCTTGGTGTGGAACCTCCCTCTACCCCTGCAATGAAGTAGAAAGACTCCCATGAGCACCTAACACCAAAAAAACAAAACTCTAGCAGTGGTTGGTGAGAAAACCGAGGAGTTTCTACAGGAAGCCGACTTAAGTTTAGCAACTTCCTAATCTCTGGTCACTTTGAGATTACTTCTACTGCCAGAACCACTTGATGCACTAACCTACTCATTTTAGTAAATCCTTCATTAATCCAAAGCTGATATTTATTTATTTGTACTTTTTTGTTTTTTGGGAAAATATGAATCAGTTACATTTTTGGTGAGGATCGAGTGTGTGTGGAAAGGGTCAGTCCTGGAAGAAAATCACTCTGACACAAGGAGCTAAAGGGATCTTCATTTTCACCCACATACTTGGAGCAAACTTGACTTTGGTGGGTCCTCCATTTTCAGATCACAAGGAATCGGTATCATCCAGCATCCGGTAGGCCTCTTTAAACAATCATTTCTTGAGTGTTGCAGGGAATGTAGTGGTCACTTCACTGACTCTTCTTTCCCTGGAGGTTGATGGTTGGTGGGGCAACTTTGGTTTCTCTCTGATGCCATCCAAAATGAAGGAGAAGTTGGGAGTTGGTGGTGGTAGGGAGCTGGGGGCCAACATTGCTCTAAATTAGAACACATTCTTAGCAGGATGCACAGATAACTTTATCATAGTTTAAGAAAAATTAGTCTAGTCACCATTCTGCTTTCTGTTTGGCAGCATTCATTCACCTTAGGCTGAACATAGAGTGGTTAAAATATGATTCTTAGGAAAAATAAAACTAAAACTTACTATATTTTAAGTCCTTATTCCCATTCTTGATTCCTTCTGCTCAAAGTTCTATTTTACTTCCCTGGACTTCTTTTTCATAAGTATCTGTGAGTGACCCAGAAAAAAATTAAATTTTGGACATGATATCTGAATTAATATTGCCTTAATTTGTACTTCCTTAAAGCAAACCTGCTTTTCAAAGCCAAAAACAAAAAATAAAAGATTCATATTTAGATTGGGGCTTCCTAGCCTTTGCGGAATCGAGACTCTAGTGTTCAATTTGATATTTTAACACTATTGTTTTCCTTTTCCTAAAATGTAAAATGTTTTTATTTGATACATATAAAGAGAATTATATACTGCACTTTATTAATTATGAGATGTTTTCTTAAAGTTTCGTGAAACCCCTCGAGGGTATTTGGAAGAACCCTGGTTTATTATAAGAACAGTTTAGGAAATGGCTGATTTTGGTGTTTTGAAATTAAAATCACCCTCTAAATAGTCAGGCATTTAATAATGGCTTATTCATTTCATTTTATTAGTCATTAAATTAGTTCACTAGTCATTCACACAGTTGGTTCCAGTTCTAAGTTCAGTTTTTAAAGCTACTTTATAGTGGACATGAAAACTGTTGATATGCTTTATGTGGTTCATTAAGGGTCAAACTTGAGTTTTTATGCCCTATAAATGCTAATTATTATTATTTTTATTACATGTATGCCAAATATTGACTTTTCCAACTTTTATGTTCACAAAATATATAAGCAAGACTCACTAAATAAATAAGCAAATGTTTTCTGTACCTTGAATAAACAATATGCCATATCTATCTATCTATCTATCTATCTATCTATCTATCTATCTATCTATCTATCTATCCACCTATTTGGACATATATAGGCCTGTGGAACCTCACTCCACCAGTGCAAAACAGCAATTTGTCTGAACCTATATCTTGAGAGTTTTCTTGGGCACTGAGAGACTCATGGTTACATAGGATCATTAGAACCAAGGTCTTTGTGTTTTCAAGACCAGTACTGTATGCATTAAACTAGGCTGCCTGCCATATATGTATTAATTATTTTTAAAGGTATTTAGATACTATTAATTAAAACAAAAATTCACAAGCATTACTTAATTCATCATAACTTTTTATTTATTTATTTGCATGTTTGTTCATTCATTTATTTATTCTTCTATTTATTCATTTATCTATCTATCTATCTATCTATCTATCTATCTATCTATCTATCTATTTGTTTATTTATTTTGCTAGGCAATGGGGTTAAGTGACTTGCTCATGGTCACACTGCTAGTTAAGTGTCAAGTGTCTAAGGCCAGATTTGAACTTAGGTTCTCCTGACCCCAGGGCCGGCGCTCATAGTAACTTTTAGTCATCCTGTTTTTTCAATATGTCGATACTACTATTACTAATACTCTCATTTGGTATCTTTGAAATTTTTTAATAATCAAAAAGAGTCAAACAACAAAAGAGGTTGAGAACCAGTAGTATAGGCATTACTATTTACCAGATCCAGTCTAGAGATTGCTTACAAGAATTGAATGGACTATGAGTTGTTCTATAGGGCCAGAGTATGGCCTGCACTTAAGCATAAAAAGATATGAGGAACAAGATTTTTGTTAGATATTTTCCCCTTTTTTTCTCTTTTCACTGGCCACATGGTCTTTAAAACTTGCTCCCAGGAAAGAAGGTGAGGAATCAATCACTTTAATTCCTGTGTGACTCATAGGGCTTATGAGTTATCCCTTTCAGAGATATTTGCATTTCAAATAAGAGGCTAGGCCTCAAGATAAAGGAATGAAGAAGGTAGAATTTGGAGCATCCCCCAGGAAGGTCTGGGGACCTCCTGAGAGGGCCTTCCCAGAACTTCTGGGAGTTTTTCCACAGAAAGTTACTTGGCCGGCTCAGTTAAATAGGTGGTTGACAATTTCTATTCCTCAAACCGTCAACATGTGTCTGATATCCTCAGTCCTGTTTTCTGCTTGGTTTTCATAATTGGAAACTGGGCATTTGCAGATTTGCACTTTAATTCCTCAAGAGGAGTGCAGAGAGTCTCTTCACTATGTCCCCAGTTCCTCCAGAGCCACTGTGGGATTCCCTGCATGGAACCTTCTAGTTGTCCCAGCCCTTAGAAGGCTGCCGGAGTGTTACCAGAAATTCCTGAATCACAACCCTGTTTAAAACTGAGAGATCTAGAAGTGTGGAGACCAACATGATCACCCTTGGCTAACAGCAGTAGTGACCACATATTAAAAATAACTTTAAAGAGAAAACCAAGGTGTTAAGTGTCCAGACATAGAGAAAAAAAACCCCAACAATTAATTAGAAGCAATGATAATACCTCTGTGAACTTGCCAGATCATAATGGGAGACAGGCCTTATATATTATTACCTATGTTTCTTTTAAAAATTTTTTTTATTATTTTGAACTTAATACCAAAAATAAAGCATTTCCTAGAGTAGCTAGGTGGTGCAGTGGATAGAGCACTGGCCCTGGAGTCAGGAGGACCTGAGTTCAAATCCAGCCTCAGACATTTGACACTAACTATGTGACCCTGGTCAAGTCACTTAACCCCATTGCCTAGCCCCTTCCCCCAAAAAAAGCATTTCCAAGTGCACAGCATAATACAAAAAAAGGATTTAATATAAAACCATGAATCTCTATTTCACCCTTTAAAGATAAACTGTAATAAATACTACATATTTTCAAAGCTATACCACTTTTCTGTGCTTCCGAGTTTTCTTTTGTTCTCTGCTGTGCATTTTTTTAAAATTTTTTTCTCCCTCTTTCCCTCTCTACTCCACACCAGAGAAGGCCATCATTTGCCACAGATATACATGTGTGTGCGTCTGTGTGTTTGTGTGTGTAAAACTATACTATACATACTTCTATGTATCAGTTCTTTCTCTGGAGGTGGATAGCATCTTCTTTCATAGGTCCTTTGTAGTCGATTTGAGTATTTGTAATACTCAAAATAACTTAGTCATTTGCAGCTGTTCTTCGAACAATACTTCTGTTACTGTGTACAACATTTTCTTGGTCTGTTCATTTTATTCTTCATCACTTCATGCAGATCTTTCCATGTTTTTCTAAAATCAACCAGTTCATCATTTCTTATAGCACAGTAGTATTCCATCACAATAATATACCACAGTTTGTTGGGGAGTATAGCCATTCCCCAATTGATAAGCATCCCCTCAATTTCCAGTTCTTTGCCACCGCAAAGAGAGCCATCACAAATATTTTAGAACATATAGGTTATTTTCCTTTTTCCATGATCACCTTGGGAAAACAGACCTAATAGTGGTATTGCTAGGTCAGTTTTATAACTCTTTAGGTATAATTCCAAATTGCTCTCTAAAGTGATTGGATTAGTTCACACTTCTACTAACAGTGTATGTACCCCAACTTTTCCACATCCCTTTTAGCATTTGTCATTTTCCCCTTCTATCATATTAGCCAATCTGATAGGTGTGAGATGATATCACAAAACTGTTTTAATTCATATTTCTGTAATCAATAATGAGTTAGAGCATTTCTTCCTATGGCCATATATAGTTTTAATTTCTTCATTGAAAAACTGTCTGATCATATCCTTTGACCATTTATCAATTGGTTCTTATAAATTTGACAAAGTTCTCTACATATTTGAGATATGACACCTTTATCTGAGAAACTATATAAAAAAATCTCCCCCCCCAATTTTCTGCTTTCCTTTAAATCTTGGCTACATTGGTTTTATTTGTACAAACCTTTTTAATTTAGTGTAATCAAAATGATCCATTTTATACCTCACAAGTCTCTCTCTCTCTTTCTCGCTCTCTTGTTTATTCATACATTCTTCTCCTATCTGTAAGTCTGTTAGGTAATCTGTTCCATGTTTTTTCTAATTTTCTTATGGTATCTCCTCTTTCTATGTAGGTCATATATTTATATGTAGGTCATATATTTATTTTGATCTTATCTTGGCAAATGATGTAAGATATTGGTCTATATCCATTTTCTGCCAGACTGCTTTCCAGTTTTCCTAACAATATTTTTAACCAAATATTGAATTCTTATCCCTAAATCTTTATATTTGCTGAACACAAGGTTATTATAACCATTTTGCTACTGTGTATTGTGTATCTATTCTGTTCTACTGATCCATCTTTCTATTTGTTAGATAGTGCAAGATAGTTTTGATAATTATTGCCTTATAATATAGTTTAAGATCTGTTACTGCTAAACCTCCTTCCTTTATATTTTTTCCATTAATTCCTTTGATATTCTTGATCTTTTGTTCTTCTAAATGAATTTTGCTATTATTTTTTTTCTAGCACAAAATTTGTTTTTGGTAACTTAATTGTGATGGCATTGAATACATACATCAGTTTAGGTAGAATTGTCATTTTTATTATATTGGTTCTGCCCACCCATGAACAATTAATATTTCTCCAATTACTTAAATCTGACTTTATTAAGTATAAAAAGTTTTTTTATAATTATGCTCATGTAGTACTTGGGTTTGTCTTGGCAGGTATTTTATTACTCCCAGGTGTTTTATACTTTCTACAATTTTTTAAAAATGAGGTATCTCTCACTATCTGTTCTTGTAGGGTTTTGCTGTTGATATATACAAATACTAATGATTTATGTGGGTTTATTTTA